AATAACGAGAAAAAAGCAAAACAAATGTTTTTGTTAATGTGCAAAATTTTCGCCAAACCTCTTAAAGTTGGCGAAAAAAAAGTTGTTTAGAATTTTTATTTTAAAAAGCAAAACTTTGAATAAGAGCATTAAATTACAGGTTGTTGCCGAAAAACCGAAAGGACAAACAGCTAAAAGTTGAAGATGATATGATTTTTGAAAAACGCTGTAATCAGATCACTTTTATAGAGTTATCTTCTTTTCAACGACTGCGGATTATACTTTGAAGCTTCATTTTCATTTTTAGACTGCAAACCGAAAAAAAAAGTTCTATTTTCAAAACGTTACTGTAACGTTATAAATGAATCTTTTAGATTAAATATTACTGCTCGCAGTTTGTTGTTGACAAACACACCTTCTTTTTGGTATTCCTTTTTGATTCATAATCTCGTCATCTGACCGACAAATATATTCCGACAGCCCAACAATTAATTCAGCTATTTAAGCAAGTTAAAGTGGTTAACATCATGGAACTGTTAATGATCAAAACAATTCAGCTAAAGACTATGACCTACAATAATAAATCACTGAATTTAAATGGAAAATACGTCTACTAGCAATCACTTTTTTAGTAATACTATATAATCAATTGAAAAATAACAGACTTTTTGTAAGCACTAAGCCAACAGTATTGAATACAGACAAGAAAAGGTCTGAAGCCGGTAAACAGCAGTCTCGAAATGATAAGCTTTTAATTTCCAAAAAAACTTGCTGGCACAGAAAAAAAGCAGAAGAAAAGTTATGTTGAAACTATTTGGATATTTCAGTATGTCATATCCCATTTTTTCCTTACGTCATCAAACTGACAGAATGCTTATTCGGTGTCACTATTAAATGTTGCAAAAGAAAAAAAAGAAAAAAAAAAAAACGTTTTAAAACTACAGTTGTGTTGCGAAAATAAGATAAGAATTGTTGAAATAAATTTCTCATCACTAAAATTGACGAAAAAAAAAAACTATTATTATGTCAGATATATGCTTCAAAAGAAAAAAAAAACAGTCAATCCCTATCATATTTGATGAAATATCCGCTTGTCAGCACATCAGTTTTGATTTTTTTTAACAGATTGGAAAACCATTTTTAAAGTGTGAGCATTTTGCAAAATTGGAAAAAATTTGTTGAATTGACTGCATAACAATTGTTAGAAAACATTACCAACATAGATTGAACTATACTGCATATAAACTGAATATTAAACAAAATCTAAATCATTATTTGACGGGTTACAGAAGCAAAGTTCATCTGCAGAAAAAAGTTTTTTTGTTTTTGTCTGTGTAGTTTGCTGGTATCTATGGAATCAGAGAAACCAATTTTACCAAAGTATCTCATAGCTTCAACTTTTTAGCTGCTACGAATACAGTAAATACGTTCTAACTACTGCTTCTCTGTTGTCTACTGAACGTTGAATAAAATGTACATTTTTACACCAAAATTTCTCTCTGATATCAATTCATTTGTTCATTTGCTTGTCTTGTCTTTTTT